TTTTATGAATGTAAGCCCTAGAACCGATTTCTGCATTGGCAGACTAATCTTCAACTGGTGAGCAAGCAAAGCATGTTGAAACATTTTAAGTAAAATTTAAGTTAACCAAATTTTTGTTAGTTAACTTGACTAAGAAGATTCTTATGGAAAGGTAATTTGTTAACAGAAATTTTGTTAACGAGGGACCACTGTATAAGGGTTTTATGTACACAAGAATATAATTTTTCCTTCGTTTAACAAAATAACTCTTGAATCAAACTTAGCATAAATGAAAGGGGAGGGGTAAGAGGGTGGGGTGATTTACCTGTGATCTGTCAGCGTAGTAAGTGTCGCTATAGCTTGAGTCCACGGCAGCTTGAAATTTTATAGCAAATAGTGGTACTTGTTCTAGCTTGATATCAACACAGACTTGCACCTCTGAGCTGAAAAGGAAGAGAATGTATATTATTAATATTCTCTTACAGGTCTGTCTCATTGTAAATAGTTTCACTCAAAAGTAGTTCCATCTGTTGTTAAAATTTTTCTTTTAACACCCAACTGTGTATCTCTCTATATGGGACATCACTCACACCTGAATGGTGAACATGAATATTATAAACTCTGGACATTTTCTTTTCCACCTTGCCTGAGAAACCTAGTGATAGCTGTTTGGATGACCCTCCCTAGGCTCACCACCACAAACCATAACTAATGCCTTGAGAGACCAGGGATGGGCAATAGCTTTATTGACCCAGTTATCATATCCCATCCAGGCAGTGAAGCAAAGTCTTATGACTGGATGCCATTCCAACACCAACCCCACAGGTCTCCTTGGTTCGTCCGGGGATCGCAACCTGCAGCCCTTAGGCAAACACTATTGCAGCCCTTGGTATCTTATTAAAGAAATTAATAAATAAAATATGAAATACAGCATGCCCTGACAATTAGCGGTCCTCAAGTATTAGCGGAAGACACCCTGGATACTTAAGAATGTCTGCTGGTAGTTTTAAGGTGCTGGCATTTCGTGGCTGGGACAGGGAGCCACTCATTCTAGAAGACAGTAACAAGGGAGTTGACTTGAGGTTGACTCTAAAAATTTTCTACATTTCGTGCATTTTGTTGTCTTGTTTCTGATTATTTGTGAGAGGATTTTCCCATTATTATTTATTTATGCGTGTTTGTGTGTGTGTGTTTCTACACACACACACACATATTACAATACAGGTAAAAGAAATAATTGTCATAGGAAAACACATAAAGGATATACATTTCTTTGTAGCAGTAAATGTACACCCCCTTTGGTCAGCAAATGTTATTAGCAGATTTGGCTATTCGCAGCCATTTTGAAACCCAAACCCATGCAAATTTAAGGGCATGCTGTAGATATAAAAGACTCTGACCTAAGACTTGAAAATCGTACTGGCTGTATTCAGTTAAACTAAACTACAACTTATTTCACTGATTTTGATAATTGTAAATTTATTTGTAATTTTAAGTTGACAGTGACAGTGCTCAAAAACTATGTCAAATGCAGTGAAGATATTTGAAAACATCAGTTTGAATTACATGACAGTGTGATGTAGAGTTAGTGGTTTATCAAGTAATGTGTTAAAGCAGCTAGAAGAAAAGCTAATGAATTTGTGTCCTTTTCTGTAGCGGCCAGATCTACTGGCAAGACATCAACAGTTCAGCTATTAATATTTCATACAGTATGTGGTGTAACACAGTCACTTTACTATTCATGAAGAACTTGATCTGCAGTTCACTGAATTGGCTTTATTGAGTTAATATGGATAAGTAGTTGATACAGTACAGCAACTAATGGTACACATACTGGTATGATCCCACTGTTCATCTCAAACACCTTGGTCAGCATAAAAAATGAACTGATACAGTTTTACTGCATTACACTCATACATCTACAATTTTTTTTTTTTTTTTTTGTAGAAAAAGGCTAGAACTTTAATATGATGGAAGTTGTAGTTTCAACTGTCAAATTTTAAAATCACAAGCCTTGAATGATAGCCAGTTCAAGCTGTTTCTAAAAAGATATTGAAGCTGAGTACATTTTGTTCATAAGTCATGTGGTTTTAGTCCTGTGAAATACACTGCAATGATTCATTAACCTCTTGGATGAAATGATCATAATTCTCGTAGAAAAGGGAAAAGCAACTCCAAGAGCTGGTGGAGTGGCTCTGCAATCCTGGCATTTCTTGTTGTTATCACCAGTCATTTAAATAGCTTGAATGCCAAACATCAAGGATGTAACCAGCTTGTTTCACAACTTGCAAGCAACATTTGAATAAAAGCTCAGGCTGTTTCAGGCACAACTCATTAAAGGTGAGTTGAGACATACGATACTTCATGCAAAGTTTATGGAAAGAAGACATTCAATTTCTACAAGTGTTTTGCCTCAAGATCCAGTGTCCATATTTGTAACAGAAGGTTGCTATTAAAGTTAGTTTATTTGGCTCCATTTACTTCGGTCTATTAAGAATCTCAGCAAGTCAAAGATCCGAGGAAGTACAGTACAATGAATGACAAGTCTGCACTCCATTTTGTGACTGGTAATCCTTGAAGTTAGATCCCAACATGAAGAAGCTCATCTCACATAATAAGCCCAAAGAAACTTTCCAAGTTTCACTGTAATAACTTAGTTGTGAGAAAGAAACACATACATTAACCAACATCTGTTGTATGACATACCACTGCCAACAGCCTATTGATGGTTAGCAAAAGTATTTATAATACATTTGAATAAAATTTTTAAATGTATGACAATTATCTAATTAGAGGACCTGCCTAAATTTTAGGCCCCAGCTTAGAGTCCGTCTTCTGATGTAGCCCCCGTCCCGAAAGGTTGTGCATCCCTGATCTGAACCAATGGCTTAGTAGGCACACTGCACAAACCCACCCAAACTACAGGCTCAACTTTAAAATTTGGAATTTGGAATCAATTCTTCATTTTGTGCCACTTGAACCTCATCCCACTAGGTATGAAAGTGAACCCCCAAAGATTGGGACCTGGTAAATCTGGATTTGAGGAAGGAATTCAGACAAAATTTGGGGTTCATGGGGCTAAGAAGTCTCCTAAAGGCATTCCCAAAACAGAGCAAAGATCATCTTTGGACACAGGTGGCAGAGGTTGGAAACTTATAAACAGAGTTGACAATTGTTGTTTGTGGGAATATTATATACATTCACTCTCGTATTATTGATACAATGTTTCTTATTATGTTATCATAGGTAAGTGCATGGTTTTATATAATTTGTTTATCACTGTGCGTCACGTTTTCAAATTAGACTTCGAGATATGTATTCTCCCCATAAAATTATTTTGATGCGTCTGACGGGCAATAGGAGTGAGTAAGGGGGCGTCAGTAACTGCTAGTTAGAGTCCTCTGCTGTTGTAACTCTCCCCCACTCCTGACATATTTAACTATTTTTTACTGTTATTATTAAAGTTTACACTGATATAATAGTGCTTAATAGTGATTAATCATGGCTTCTGGGTAAGCTGTGTGAGTGTTATGGTTGTTTTAGTTCAATCAGAATCGACATCTAGCTTTATACTAATATGTATATGCCTTGCATTATGCTAAGCCAGGCAACATACGGGCAATTAAAACATCTAATAATTATAAAATATGTGATATCAGGAGGACACATGGCTACATGGCATTTAGTGCAATTCCTCAAAACCCCTCCGCATGCATTGTTACTGTCATCTTCTTGCCTGGTGAATCAGCTATGCTTGGCGCTGGGAAAAGCCGCTAATTTCTGTTGTAATAGCGCTTCAAAATATAAAGCGCCACAAAGGATTTTACTTTTGGTATTTATACATCTTAACGCGTTAGCAGGAAATTGAGTGACTTTTATTTGATTGTCTCTCAGATATTGTGCTTGGGTTAATTTTTTATACGGTCTGGTCAAGCATGGAGTAAGGGCAAACCGCGAGTTAGCTGGCTCAGTGGAGGGAGGAAGCACAGAGTGTAGGGGGTGGGGGCGTTGCTAAGGGGTGGTGTTCCAGCTGGTCTCCATTGTTATGATGAAGCAGGAGTGTATGCAGATGCTGACTGTGTTAAGCACCATTTTGGCTTTTATTTACTGGTTTAGCAATACAGCATTTTTTGGTAACTTATTTATTGGTATTATTTTTATTAATTCCTCACATTTCCTGTTATTGTACATATTATTTTAAGAAAGGAAAAATTATGGCTACAGGAAGAAAATACACACAAAAGTTTTCTTGTACTATGGCTGGCAAATGGAGGTGATTTGTATGCCTTAAGGAAATTTGATACTGTATTTTAGTGATTTTTATATAATTATTTATCATTTTTTATACATTCAGTAAATTTGCGGAAGATCGCGGACAATTGTAGCTTTTGGACAAGGTGGTCCCCTTTTAGTCCAGATCTTTGAGGGGTTCACTGTATATTACAGTGATGAAGTCAAACAAGATTACACACAAACACTTACACTTTTCATTTGCGTTTGCTTGTAATGCTGTATCATAGCTGGTTATGTCTCAATACTTAACTTACTGTACTGGCCTGTAAATAAATTTTTGACAATTTCAGGTTGTGGCACAAACATAAGCCACATGGTTGCTACTAGCTGATTCTATAAACAGACTATTCCTTAGGATAGTTCTCATTAAGATCTGTCAGGCATACAGTTCAATGAATATGCTTTGCAATCCAGAGATTTTTAAATGCAAACTACACTCTGTTTTACTAAAAATTTAAATAATCCTGTAAACCCTAAAATGGTACAATAAGCAGGCAGTGCTCTGCTCAGTATTAGTTACTCTGTTTTATCAAAGGCTCCACACATCTTCACTCCTGTTGTAAGAGATGATGTATGAGATATAACGAGTTGCATCAGTCATTGCATCTCATTTATAAATGATTCACTGGGTTATACCAAGTTACCTGATGATGCGCCAGCTTCACATCAAGGTTTTGGCACGTATCATGTCATGTATTAGTTGTGGAAGTTCTGTCTTGTAGTGTGAGTCAGCATCTTGTTGTGGGGGGTTCAGAGCGATACCATTCTTTCTCCTCAATTTCTAAAGCCTTACTCATCCAGGAATCATAATTGTTATTTACATTCTGTAAAGAAAAATATAATGAATTAATATAGAAATAAACTACTAAACTTGTGTTTCATTATCATAACATTCCATCTCTCAATAAAATGAAGGATGCGTTCTTGAAATCTATTTTATACCAGTCAGGACAAACAACTTTCTATATGCTTAATAAGCTAATAGACCACATAATCTTTAGCCACAAACTGTGACTGGGATACTGTACACCTAAACCTGGATATAAGAAGTCTAAACTCAGGATTATTGTATTCAGTACCTGGCACATCACACTGAACATATATAAAAATAAAAAGAAAATAACTGACCTCGAGATACTTGGATATAAGATCTTTAGTGTCTTATTATCCAGAAGCGGTCAAGCTTGACCGCACGTTGATGTTAGCGGCGGGTAACCCATCAGCTCCTTCCCACACCATACCGTTGAGGACCCAGGACAGTAATGACGCGTGCTGGTTATCTTCCAGCCCCCCCTTCTATTATTTCTACAAACTGAAAAAATAGTAACAATGTATTCCAGATATATCGGGTTTACGATCTCTGATCTGCAATATTTCTCTTGAGCGATGGAGATGTTTTAAGACCATCTCGAGGATTATGAAAATTTTTTGGCATAAATGATGGCAATGCGTCGACCAAACTTCTGGCCTGACATCGCGATTTTACTGTATGTACAGATATCTCTCTTGTTTAACAATTGGGATGCATTCTGAAAACCCATCATTCATGCAAAATGATTGATAAATGAGGGGATAACAAAGAAATTACATGCGCCCTAACATTTATTATTTTAATTAGATGGAGCACCTCGATTATTCCGCGGATTACACCCTGGATGTATCCAAAATGTCTAAGGGAAGTTTAAAGGAAGTTGCTGGCATTTTGCATGGGACAAGAGGCCATTAGTTTCCAGAGACAGTAATCCCACACACACACTTGCGCTGCGCCGCGGCGCACACACACACACACACACACACACACACACACACACCACACCAGACTACTCATGCGCTCCAAAGCACCCTGGACAGGCTACAGGCATGGACTCACAGCGGAGAACAAGGTCACCATCCCAACCACACCAAAACTACCAGTCATGCACATCAATACGCCACCACTCGAGTGCAAACCCCAGCAGTCACAGTGGGTGCCCATCCTCTCAGCTGTGGTGCAGTCTGCCAAACTCCTGGGTGTAACTATGAACCCAACAAACTTGACCGAGGAAGGCCCTTCACTTAAATAACACAGTCAGGCATTGCAGTCTCTACATGCTACGACGACTTAGGTCACTTGGGACACCCACGCCATAGCTGAGGACCATCTACAACGCCTTTATTCTCCCCAAACTTACATATGCGTCACCAGCCTGGTCGTCTTCTCTCAACTCCACCCAACAACGTCAGCTAGAGAAGGTACAGAAAAGGGCCTGCAGAATCATGGTCGGCGCAGAATACTCCGGCTACACCAACGCTCTCTCCACCCTGGAAATGCCATCCCTCAGTGACCTCCACCACCAAGCACTGGAAAGGTTTGGCAGTGGACTACTGCATCACCCTCGTCATCGCCACCTCCTGCCACCTGCAGCCCCCCCACCCAACTCGCGCAGTCCGCCACTACAACAAAATTCAGCCCATAAGAGCCCGCACTGATAGATATAAGAACAGCACCATCCCATTAATTGTTAAAATAATAAACAACTCCTGATTTATGTATTGTACAGCCCTGTAAATGTGTTCAATGCATATTATATCATTATGTCTAAATCAAATGTATGCCTGTATATTTTCAGCCACCGGCTGCAACTCTTAATAAACCGTTTATTATTACTATTATTATTACACACACACACACACAAAATACAGGTAAAAGAAACAATTGTCCTAACGGTAAACACATAAAGGGAATTAAATTTTTTTGCACAGGAGTAAAAATGTATCCCCCCTCCCCCCCCCTTGGTTAGCAAATGTTATTTGCAGATTTGGCTATTCACGGCCATTTTGAGAACCTAACCTCTGCATATTTTTAAGGCATGCTGTACAGATATATCCTAAATGGGGGATAACGGGGAATAATATCCATAGAGATGGCACATAATTGTATAGCAGTCTCTGAATCGCCACCCAGTAGCACTCAGAGCAGGAGAGGCTGAGCTGTGAGCTATGTTATTGTTCAACTCATAATTTATTCAGTTACATGCATACACAATCGTTCATACATAATGTGAAAAAAAAATACCATAAGATAAAAAACATAAGGAGATTTTAAAATTTCTTACGTGGGCTGGAGTTAGTGTGTGATCTTGGGAGAGGACGGGGGAGAGCTGGAGGGGAGGGTGAAACATCGAAGATCTCATCCTCCCCTTACTAGGCCAAGCTGTGAGCTACGTTATTGTTCTTTTTGTTCAACACAGAATGCGACGCTCAGCATGTTACCTAGCTATGTTAATTCCTAGCTAACTCGCCAGGCCAACATACACGCAATTAAAACATCTATTAATTACTTAATAAGTAATATTAGGAGGACACGTCGTTACCTGGCATTTAATTGCAATTCTCAAAACCCCTCCTTCACCCCCCATCATACTCATCACAACCTTCATCTTCTTGCCTGGCGATTCAGCTGTCAATACACACAAAAGAAGGCTCCGTGAATTTGTGTTGTAATTGCTGAAATACTAAGACCCACGAGGATTTTATATACGGTATTTATACTTATTAGCACAGTGAGGAAGTAGAGTGACTTGTATTTTGTTTATGTCTCTCAATTATTGTATTTGGGACAATTTCTTATATGATCTCTGGTCAGCATCATCGCGACCACAACACGTCTATGAAGTCGCTTAGATCGTTTGTGACGATTCCTTGCCCTTGAGTCACTCAGTGAATGTCGCTGCACCCTCCCGGGCTTGTCTTCACTGAAAGACACTATGCGGATATATATGTTTATATATAAATATATATGTACACTGTTTACGGTTTTCTTTGTCCCAATTATTCACGTGCTAGTATGAATGCCATGACTGTCTCTCTTCCTACTCTTATGTTCGTTCACAAAAAACCTTTGGGCTTCCGCCCTCGGTTTTCTAATTGCACTCAGCATAAAGACCAGAGTTGAGTTTTCTTTTCATAACTATATTTTATTGATGTCCTCAGTAGCGGGTTCAGCCTTTCCAGGGGAACTTTAGCGAGGCTGCTAGACTGAGCGTTCCTTCCGGAATGCTGACCTTCCGGTCTTCCTAGCAATCTAGAGTTATGTTGAAATGGACTTTACATCCTTATATGGGTTATAAGAAAACAATTCAGGGAAGAATTCTCAACCCAATAAGGACAAAGTTGGACAATCTAATCGGTCCCTCTCCCTGGGTTCCGCCTCAAACAGGTTTGGTCGTTTGTACGGATGCGTCCAAAATAGGATGGGGATATCATTCCTCAAAAGGGTAATTCAGTCAAGGGAAGTGGAGCAACTTCCTTTGGGACAAACACATAAATATAAAAGAATTAGCAGTGGTCCTATTCTTTTTGTCGGCAAACCCAAATTTACAGAATATGACGATCCTGTTTGCCATGGACAACAAAACGGAAGTGTTTTGTCTCAATCATCAAGGCTAAACAAAGCCTTGGCCCGTTCTACAACTGTCAGAAAATTTTTTCAGTATTTATGTAACACAAACACTTTACCTCAAAGCAACTTATATACCGGGAGTACAAAACAATTGGGCAGATGCGCTGTCCCGTCTCCGGCCAGTATCGACAGAAACAGAATGGTCCCTAAAGGTATCGGAGTTCAAGAGTCGAGTGAAGAAGTTTGGAACTCCACAGATAGATCTTTTTGCCTCCCTAAAAAATCACAAGATGCCACTTTATGCATCTCTGGAAAGGTCAAATGTTTTAGGAAATGCCCTCCTCTTAGATGGGAACCTTTGGAATTCAATCTATCTATTCCCACCTGTGAAAACATTGCCCAAATTGGTTCACAAACTCAGATCCTTCCGAGGCAAAGTCCTCTTAATTGCACCATATTGGATCCTACAACCTTGGTGCCTGGATCTACTGGACTGGTGCCCAAATCCTCTACAAATGCAACAAGGATGTCTAGACCAGGTACTACATTCTCAGTTCGAGATATCCTTGGCACTTCACGCTTGGAGTTTCTCAAAAAAAAGTTTAAATAGGTTGTTGGGTAATTCCAATATAGCTAACCAAGTATTAGCAGGTCATATACCCCAAACTTCTATTCAATATGAGAAAGCTTGTAATCTTTTTCAACAATTTATCAAGTTAACGACTCCAGACACATTGTTGGAAACAGTTGTGTTAGAATTTTTAGAATTTCTGTTCAGAGTTAAAGGCCTTCAAGGATCGACAATTGCATCTTATAAATCAGCGTTGGTTGATCCTCTGGCTTGGGGTTTTAATATTACTTTTAACCCAAGAATTTATTAAATGCTCAGATCGTCCTTTTTCATTCAGAGACCCCCTCGGCCTAAGAGAATCCCACCTTGGTCTCTAGATAAAGTTACTAAATTTCTTAAGGGGCCTAATAACAATATAAATCTGAACCGGGACAGATTGCTCCAGAAGGCAGCCTTCCTTCTAGCAATAGCAACAGGTATGAGAATAAGTGAACTGATTTCAATTTCCAATAATCCATCATTATTGGTATTTTCCTACTGAGATCCTATGAAAAAATGAAAGGGAAGATTTCCAAGATCAACCTATTAGGAGAAAATGTCTAATGGATGAAACAAGGGTTCCTCATATATTGTGCCCAGTTAAAGATCTTCAGGAATGGTTAACCAGATTCCTTAATCGAGGCCCCTATGTTTTCTCTTCAAGGGATGATAAGAAATTATCTTCTAGTCAAATGACAAAATCCTTATCTCAATTCATGAATCAAGCATACCCTGGCAAGAAATTTTGGCACATGACACTAGGAAATATGCAGGGTCTGTGGCCTTTCTGCGGCATATGAGTCTCAGTCAGATCAAGGAAATGGGCTTTTGGAGATCTTCAAAAACTTTCAAAGACAGCTATCTTCATCTATCTCTGAAAGATGCTTCAAATGTGGTGGTGCTGGGGGTCCCCTCCCCCACCTAGTCAATCTCCACAACCAGGACCTTCTTCCTCATCAGAATAAAGTGAGTATCCATTTTGAGTAAATTAACATTTTACCTTCCGGTAAATGTTCCTAATTTTGGAAATATTCTAAACGGTTTATAACATAATCTGGACCGAAGTCAGCGGAGCCTTGTATGCAAAGTCACCTCCCTCTCCACCCCCTGCTTGGGTATTCATGCTGAGTGTCGCATTCTGAGTCGAACAAAAAGCCGTTTTTTTCTAAAAACCAGCTTTTGTGATATAGCTCGAATGAGACGCCGATAACCCACCCATCTCCACCCCTCGAGAGTTGACTTTTGTTTACTGCTCGCTCTAAGGCAAGAGAGGAAGGTCGTGATGCGTATGATGGGGGGTGAAGGAGGGGGTTTTGAGAATTGCAATTAAATGCCAGGTAGCGACGTGTCCTCCTAATATTACTTATTAAGTAATTATTAGATGTTATAATTGCCTGTATGTTGGCCTGGCGAGTTATTGCTAGGCATTAACATACCTAGGTAACATGCTGAGCATCGCATTCTGAGCTATATCACAAAAACTGGTTTTTAGAAAGAAAAAAAAAATGCCTTTTTTAGTTCTTAGTTTCAGGCAGACATAAATGTTTTGTTTTTTTATATAAAATGTACACACAATCATTCATAGATACTGTGCAATAAAAAATAATTATCATAAGGTCAAAAACATAAAAAGACTAAACATTTCATACATGCACTGGAGTTAGCCCTCAGAGCAGGGGGAGGGGAGGGGATCTCTAAGCTGTTATCTGTCTCTTGTCCCTTGAAACGATTGCCAAATGGCAATGCAGTGTTTTTCTTTTATTTTATTTATTATTATTATCTTTATTTATTCCTCACATATACTGTGATTATGAAGTTTTTTCTCTCTGTTTTTGCTATTTTTATTACTGTAAAGTGAGCAGTGTAACTTCGAAAATGTCTAGCAAGCTGTTGCCAAAGGCTCCTGTGTCTGGGAAGGGCAAGGTGTTCAGGAAAACTGTCTCTCTGGAGGTGAAGTTTGTTCTTAATGATGCAGTGAGTGTTATTTAAATGTTTTTAAGTCATTTTATTAGAGTAGGATTTTTTTTTTTTTTTTGTCTGTGATACATGTGGATGTCAGACTGGCTGGGAATGTATCCTATTGAGCCCCATGTTATAATAATCCAGATTTACGATGCAGTATTATGGTCTATGATGAGGTTTTCAGGAGCGTAACCCCATTGTAAAGTGGGGATACCTGTATGTACACTTACTTCTGAATTTAAGTAATGCCAGAACATTAAACAGTTGTATTAATATAATTCAAATGAAAAATTTAAAATGATTCTTGTATGCCTATCATGGCTGAAAGCTGAGATAATCGACCTGTGATTTCCAGCACACTGAATGCCTCCTGAGAAGGTCTGCCTTGTCATGCCATAATAATTTGTGGCAGAGAAGCAATATTCTTTTGAAAATCACAATTACTAAAAAAACAACTGTAGTATAGTCTGCATTTCCGCGGTCAATTGAACCCGTGGAGGCCCGCGTAAAACGAGAAATGCGTAAATGAAATAAGAGAACATATGGGATTAATTGAAATCGAGACTGGACCGACCCCCAAACTCCACTTTTTCCGACACAATGCGTACCTTGTAGTAAAATAACATCTTAATTTTATGATGGTATGCACACACAATTAATAATTAAGAGAAATATCAATAATATTAGGTGTTTTAACACTTACGTTAGTAGAAAAGCTGGGTCGGCACACGTGGATGGCGGCTGGTTCTGAGGCAGAGGGCAGATTAGTTGCCCTCCGGTGAATCACTTTCACTTTCACTACTCGCAGAGGTTTGCAGGGCCTCCAAGACAAACCTCTCAAAGTCCATATCCTCACTGTCACTATCACTATCACTGACTTGGGCTGGCTGTGGTTGTGGTGGGTTGCGGGCGAGGAAGTCCTCAATACTACGTTGACGACTAGCATTGATGTTGTCGAGATAGATCTGGATATACGGCTCGAGATAGATCTGGATATACGGGTCGTTGTCAAGGATGAGCTTAATTTTCTCCCCCAACTCGATGATTTCCTTCACATTATCATGGCTTGGTCCAGGTAATTCAAGGTTTTTCTCGGGTGGTGGGGTCCAGCGGAAGCCGTTGTGAGGGGAATAGAGGGCACAAGAGAGAACTGTATACGCGGACTGAGAACAATGAGACAGGCCCGGCTAGGTCAGCGACTTCTACCCTCTGGTGGCAGGGCACGTCATGTTACATTAGACCAATCACAGCTAGCGGTGGAGGGAATGCGTGGGTGGTAAGGATGCGTGGCCCAATCACAGTCCAATACGTCATATGAAGTCAGCGATAACGTAAGAGCGGCCTAATGCACACCACTCACCGCGCCGCTTCCCACGTATGGTCAAGAATGGACCGAGTGGGTAAAAAATGACGCGGCGGTCTGGACCTCTCCAGCCGCTTACCGCGTAAATGACAAAATTTACCGCGTAATTAAAGCATTTTCATTCTGGCAAGGCACCGCGTAAATAACCAAACACGTAAAAAAAAATGCGTAAATCCAGATTATACTGTACTGTATTCATCACGATGCACATGGAGCCTGAAAAGATGTCTACTGATGCACAGATTACCTCTAACTGGTAGCGAGTCACTCAGCCAAGAATCAAACACGCATGAATCCCTACAAGTGTAGAGACGACCACACTGCGTCTTGTACTCAGAGCAGAGTATAAACTGTGTTGTATCTGCAATGTCCCTAATGGATTATCAGGCTTATGGCACCCACTTTCACTCTGTAAACTACATCATAACTGTGGTTTGATGGTGAGTGACACCATAACTTTGGTTTGATGGTGAGTGACATCATAGCTGTGGTTTGATGGTGAGTGACATCATAGCTGTGGTTTGATGGTGCACCCATCTTTGGTCATCCTCTCTTAGGGATTATGGGGAAACTTTCGTTGTGGCCCTCGACATCTCCAAAGCATTGGTAGGGTATGGCACAAGTCTTTGCATTCTCAACTTCCCTCTTATGGTTTCTCTCCCCTATGTTGTTCCATAATTTCTAGTTTACTTGAGAACCGATCCATGGCAGTTGTTGTCGAGAGATCGATCTCTCGCTCTTTCTCTACCAATAGTGGTGTCTTACAGGGTTCTGTTCTTTCACCAATTCTCTTCCTTCTTTTTATCAATGATTTACTTCACACTACGACTAATTCTATCCATTCTTACGCTGATGATTCTACTCTTCACTCTTCTTCACATTTTCCCTTCCCCCTAATTCTCAAATTAGATCTGTTTCTAGAGCTGATATCATTTCATCTCTCAATGCGAATCTGTGCAGCATCTCCGAATGGGGAGGTAGAAACTTGGTTAAATTCAATAGTAATATAACACAGTACTTACCTATTACACTTTTCAAATTAGATAATCTCCCACCAATCACATTTCAGGATGCAATCATTCTGCCAAATTCTAAAATAGATATGCTAGGCCTCACCATTTCCTCTAATATGTAATGGAAGCCACACATCCACAACATTGGTAAAGCTGCCTCCTGAAAGCTGGGAATGCTGTAAAGATGCCGTAGCTACTTCATTCCTGAGCAGTTGCTTCAAGTTTCTAAGGGATTCATTCGTCCTAACTTGGAGTACTGCTCTTATATCTGGGGTGGCTCTTCTTCTGTTCAACTGTTAGATAGGGTGGAATCAAAGGCATTTCGTCTTATTAACTCTCCTCCTTTAGTTGATAATCTTTCTTCCCTTTCTCTTTGCCACAATGTTGCTTCACTCTCTCTCTTTTACAGGTACTTTAATGGGCAACGTTCGGTGGTTTTGGCATCCTGTGTACCACTGGCAAGGCCGTGGGCTCGTAACACTTGTCTTGCCTGCAGTGCCCACCGTTTTTCTGTGGATGTCGGTCACACTAGAATAACCCATTATAGTACATCCTTCTTTCCTCACACAGCCAAACTGCGGAATGCTCTGCCTTCTTCTGTGTTTCCATACTCATACAACCTGTCTCACTTTAAAAAGCTGGTTTTCCGTCATTTACGTGGTGTAGATTAATATACCGTATATACTCGTGTGTAGTTCGAGATTTTAAGACCAAATTTTTAGGCATAAAATTGGGGGTCGACCTCTACATGCGTAATAGTTTTGTTAGGTTGAACCCGTGCATGATGGGAAGGGCGAGAAGCAACTTTTAGCTTCAGACATGAAAAATATTTACCATTTACTGCCAGTAAACAATGGAAACGTAAAATATGTACCAATTAGTAATGAAAAGTTGTGCAGTTCCTTCAGCAGATGAAGCTCACCAACTTACAATAGGCTAAATTACCTTACAACGTGCTTTCAGTAGTATATGTTGAAGTTCTTAGCACAGGCTAACTTATCATATCATATACGGTTTCACAGTTCTAATTGATCTACAAAAAATACCACTAACAAAAACCTTTTTGATATTTCACACTTAATATAATACCCGGTAATCCACTTCAACCTCCTATTGTTTACAACGATGCATGACGAACCTCCAGCTGTTGCGTTATCAGCTAGACGGTACACGTGTTTTTCGAATCGTTTTCAGATAAAAAACTGTTACATCACATGTACATTTTACCTTAACTGTGCCTGAATATATTCTCGGAAATAAATAGTAGTTTTGCTGAAACGTGATGTATTTCAATATAAAATAGGATAAAATACATGACGAAAACAAAAGACTTTACCTAAGCTTCCGATGTTCTTGAGATGTTACTCGTTTTTTTAATAGTTTTCGGTTAAAGTACTGTTATATTACAAAGATATTCTATTCATACTGAGCTTGATATAATACAGTACATTCACGGAAATGTAATATTTTTGTTGAAATGACGTACGTATTACAGTGGAAAGTGGGATAAAATTGTGACGAAAACAATGACTTTCGCTTTCTTTCGTTCAAAAGATGTTACCGTAAATGCTTTTCGAATGGTTTTCAGTTAAAAAACTGTTGTATTACAATAATATTCCCTCCTAATTGACTTGAATAAATACTTGAATGGAGATATACAATATTTTTGTTGAAACTACCCGCGCTTCAGTTTAAAGTGTCGTAATAATAAATGGTAAACAATTTGCCTTCGGCACTCTGTGTTTCAGGCACGGTGAGCCTCAGTTTATAGGACGTAGAGCGTTTTTAGTGAAGGTTTTGTTGTTCCATTACCCTCAAAAACGTGGGTCGAACTATAAACGAGGAACATCGTAAATTAACGATTTCTTGGTCAAAAAATCAGGGTCGACCTTTAAACGAGGGGGGTTAAAGACAGTATATCGGTAATCTTTTTTCTTTTCTATTTTAATTTTTTTTTACTCTTATTTTTTTGTCCCCCAGGCCCTGTGATGGGTCGATGATCTGTGCCCGGGTGGGCTATTCCCTATAAAAAAAACTGTGGTTCGATGGTGAGTGACACCATAACTGTGGTTTGATGGTGAGTGACACCATAACTGTGGTTTGATGGTGAGTGACACCATAACTGTGGTTTGATGGTGAGTGACACCATAACTATAGTTTGATAGTGAGTGACACCATAACTTAGGTTTGATGGTGAGTGACACCATAACTGTGGTTTGATGGTGAGTGACATCATAACTGTGGTTTGATGGTGAGTGACATCATAACTGTGGTTTGAGGGTGAGTGACATCATAACTGTGGTTTGATGGTGAGTGACATCATAACTGTGGTTTGAGGTGAGTGACATCATAACTGTGGTTTGAGGTGAGTGACATCATAACTGTGGTTTTGATGGTGAGTGACATCATAACTGTGGTTTGATGGTGTGACATCATAACTGTGGTTTGACATGTACAGGTGAACATCATAACTGTGGTTTGAGGGTGAGTGACATCATAACTGTGTGTTTGAGTGTGAGTGACATCATAGCTGTGGTTTGATGGTGAGTGACATCATAACTGTGTTTGAGGGTAGTGACATCATAACTGTGGTTTGATGGTCAGATCATAGGTTTGATGTGAGTGACATCATAACTGTGGTTTGATGGTGAGTGACGCATCATAACTGTGTCTGTTTGATGGTTTTGATGGTGAGTGACATCATAACTCATAACTGTGGTTTGATGGTGAGTGACATCATAACTGTGGTTTGATGGTGAGTGACATCATAACTATGGTTTGATGGTGAGTGACATCATAACTATGGTTTGATGGTGAGTGACACCATAATTGTGGTTTGAGGGTGAGTGACATCATAACTGTGGTTTGAGGGTGAGTGACATCATAACTGTGGTTTGAGGGTGAGTGACATCATAACTGTGGTTTGATGGTGAGTGACATCATAACTGTGGTTTGAGGGTGAGTGACATCATAGCTGTGGTTTGAGGGTGAGTGACATCATAACTGTGGTTTGAGGGTGAGTGACATCATAACTGTGGTTTGAGGGTGAGTGACATCATAACTGTGGTTTGATGGTGAGTGACATCATAACTGTGGTTTGAGGGTGAGTGACATCATAGCTGTGGTTTGAGGGTGAGTGACATCATAACTGTGGTTTGAGGGTGAGTGACATCATAACTGTGGTTTGAGGGTGAGTGACATCATAACTGTGGTTTGATGGTGAGTGACTCAACCACAGATAAACACACAATAATACTTACATGAGTAGCAAGACTCTTGTGATACATCTGTACATAACGGTTAGTGATGTCAAAGTGTGGCGGGAAGCACGGAACACACAGTGAGCGGATCACTTTCATGTCTTCCAGCAAAAGCAACCGAATCACCTGTAAAGTTTAATGAATATTATTTTATTACAAACTTGAATAAACTTTTCCTGTAAAACAAAGATCTGCTGCATCTATTTGCCCAATGAAAACTACACAGGTTGCTCCCATCTATACCAGAGGCTGTCTTTCCCCAAAAAAGGCTCAATATAAACAAATCAGCATAAGAGGGTTGTGTTTCCAGCTTCAACCAAAGTCTCCATTGGATGATGATTGTGTCCTATGTTAAGTTTTCATGCTCACACCAATACCAATTTAACAACTTTATATTGTACAAATTGTTTTTACTGAATGAACATTATAAATGAGTAAAATACAGTAGAACATCGATTTAAAGCGATTCAATTTATGATTATTTATTTAAAGCGACACCCACAATTAAGGACAATGTTTTAATTTAAAGCAAATCTTTCTTATTTTGAGCGAGTCAATCTGGCGCATCATATTTAAGATTTTGCGCCTAATGTTTCTCTGGGCACGCTACACTGTCCTAAGGGCAAAGCTGTACTGTACATGTATTCAAAATATTGCACTAAATGATTACTAAAATTTTTGTCTTGTGCAAAGTATAGCATGATTATATTAAAATTAATCACTATCTTATAAGAATTCCAGCAACGTAAATTATATTCTCCCGTCACTTCTGTGACATTTATAAGCAAAAAAAACATACACTCAAGCTAAAGGACATAAATAAACAAATAAATAGTTCACTAGACCTTCGGTGCCAACTGTCAAACATGTCACTGTCACCCTTCCCTCCCTCCCACCTTCCCAGCCGGGGTTTGGTGTTTTATGCTTAAAGTTTTTATCTTATATAATGTCACAGACTAAAGTTAGGAGAATATAATTTGTATTGCTGGAATCCTTGCAAGACAGCGAATAATTGGAATATAAACGTCATATATTTTGCACAAGAGATAAAAAATTTTGCTCATTGTAATAAAATTCTTAAAATTAGAACTAAAATTTGTATGTCGAATGTGAGCTTTAGCATGTTTATATTCAAATTATCACTATCTTATAAGAATTCAGGCAATGTAAACTATATTCTCCCAGGTTAGTTCAGTTATAAATTATAAGAGAAAAATTTAGTCACTCTTAAGGACAGATAAATAAATAAGCACTAGACCTTGGCATCAACTGTCAAACATATCACCTCACCTCCCTCCCCTCCCTCCCTCCCCCCCAACCCCCCATCTTCTCAGCCAGTAAACAGACCATTTCGCATCCCTTAATTTTAGCTATGATGATTTATGAGTGTTTGTTTTAACATAATACTACAAAAAACAATGTTTTGTTTATTCTAGGAGATGGGCTGAGGTGCATCTGGGTAGACTCTCAGTCTTTTTAGTATTTTGTGTTTCTCTCAAGTACCAAACTAAATTATTCCACTGAAACAACACTTCGATTTAGTGCGAATTCGTGTTATATCAACGTTCTACTGTACTGTATACCGGTAATTATATTCAGTGCTCTACTCCCCAATATAGTCTGTTGATACCAAAAATAAATTTTCAGTATTGCTAGGGGGTGACTTTGATGAGCAGGGACCAGGACAACAATTTAATAATTACAAAGAAGTAATGCTAGAGACTGGGGAAAACTTATAACACATAGGAGGAACGAGGCTAAAAGTAAGTGGATGACAAATGAAAGAAAAAATAAATAAATAGACAAAGATATATGAGAAAAAAGTGAGGCTTACATAAAAATTAGCAAAGAAATTCAAAGAGAATTCAGACAGCCCTAAAACAATGATGTAGAATTGAATTGAATTTGAATTGTAACAGTTTATTTAGCCAGAAAAATACAGATACAGAGTGGATAATAATAACAATATTAACATGGCTGAGCCAGCTGAGAACCTGAGCTCTCTTTGAGGCACCTGATATATACTATACATTTATCTCAAGGAAGTATTATGTAACATTTAGTATCATCTGGAATAGTACAATAGCATGGTAGTAATAAGGAAATACATGGAGATAAAAGATGATGACAAAAGCCTAATTGTATGGAAATGTACAGAAATATTAAACAAATGAACCAAGAAAATGGAAATGCAGTATTTTCTCGATTTAACGAACTAATTCAAGCCACCCGTTTGTTAAATTGAAATTTCCGTTAAATAGAGCTTTCCACTGCTCAGTCTGTGTCCTGACACCACCGCGTGTGTTGTTCATTCCTACCTCTCGGTCAACTAAGCATACACTGGAGCACCTTAGCTTTCGATCTTTACACAAGACATCTTCAGAGGTAACTGAATTTACAGGGACTGAATGTCAGGTCACTTTCTTGGGTGGGGTATTAGTGGGTCTCATGACCTGAAGATGTCTTGAATAAAGACAAAGCTGAAGTATTTTTAGGGAGCTTGTGATAAGTATAAGTATAAATGAGCTAAGTTGTATCCCTTCAACATTACGTTACATAACATTTTAAAATATGGAGTGAGAAAGCAGAAAGGTGTGGGTGATTAGAGAGATGGAGTAGAAAGGAGTGGTAACATGCTCCAGTGTTGCCAAGCTCTCCTCAACAGCTGATATTTAACTCGCTACAACGCAGTCACACGGATGGCTGGAGATGGTGGGAGGCGAACCTTTTTGGGAGGAGAGGGGGAGGGTCGCGCGGTCACTTTTCTCCCCTCCTTCCTCACTCAAGCGTGGCTAACTGTGATAGGAAGATGAATTCGATACCATACTGATCCTTAATAATTTTTCTACAAGACGTTTCCTATATGATTTCCTTAAATGACAAGCTGAATAATAAGGTAAAATAAGTATACGAAGAGTACTCGTATTAATAAGCTCGAATTATTACAGTAACATATCTTTACTAATCAATAAATAACAAACAATATTTTGCCAGTAAGAATGACAGAGGCAGATGAACCTTTTTGGGGGTTGTGCGGTCAGTTTCATCCCTCCAGGGTCTCCATGACCAGGCTCTATGTACAGAACTAAACAAAGAATTTATTTGAAATACTCTGTAACATTTGATACCATATTATCCTGACCACTGGGGTTAGTTATACAGACTTTTCCCTGTGAAAAAGCCATAATTTTGAGCAACATATTACTGTACCCACTTTGTACTCAAATGTACTATGGTAAAGGACATGAAATTTTATCTCTTGTGGAAACTATAAGATGTTTTACTCAAATTAATCAATATCTTGCAAGGATTCCAGCAATGCAAGTTATATTCTGCTAAGTCAAGTCTGAGATTTTATTAGAGAAAAACTTTAAGCCTAAAACTACCTTCATCTTATTAGATTCTTATCACCCACCACCATCTTGCCTCCCCTGCTGGCTGGGAGGAGGGGATAAGGGGAGGTGTGGCATTGACAGCAAGGAGGAGGGTTCAGGGACTCAGGATTATAAAAGACAGGCAGTTTGAAGTTTTTCGCTTATAAAATGTCACTGATTTGACTTAACAGAATATAACTTGCAATGATGGAATTCTTGAAAAATGGTGATTAATTTTAGTATAAACATCCCATAGTTTGCACTAGATATAAAAATTTGAGTACAGTAATTAACTTAGTAGCCTACATTTGAGTACAGGTTGTGATAATTTATGAATTGTGGTTGCAGTTAAGCTTCATGAAATCACTAGTGTATAATGCATCTCCACATGCCCTGGTTAGCGCTGTTAATGTGTGTGCTGTATAAGTGTCTTGGCATGTCACCTCACCTACTGCCTTGTCACCTCACCACCTGACTCACCACCTCGGAGTTACATTGATTTATTGCTGTAATATATTACTTTTTTAGTATTTTATGTACATTTAAAGAAATATGTATTTGCACAGTAATTATAAATAGACCCACACACCAACCATGTGAGGATGCGGCTAAACATGGTGCAATCTTTCATAACACTGGGAACCTTTGTCCCCAGGCCCGGAGCAGAAAGGTTTGGTGTTCTCGCCATTTTCTCAGATTTTCCAGTAATTGTTTTATATCATTATTTATCATTTTTATAATTTAGTACATTCACTGTAGGCTGAAGTAGGTTTTACTGTATCGTGTGTCTGAGGTGTCTCCGTAGGTGTGAGCGTATTAACGGAATTAATCTCAATTTAGTGAACTAGTTCACTTAATAGAACAAAAAATAACGAAAAAAAATGCTTCCGCAAAATTGAGTGTTCGTCATTTCAGTTTCTGCCAAATCAAGAGTATACTGCATATGGGGTGGGACAATTAAAAGCAAAGACAATATGATCCTGTTTGAGGAAGAAGTAAAAAAGAGATGGGCAGAGTATATAGAAGAACTACTGTATACAATGATAAGGATAGAGTGTAGGTAGGAAACGAAAAGGAAATACTGTAAAGATCTAAGTGCCAATTCTGGAAGCAGAAGTTGAGGCAGCTGTGAACAAAATTGAAAATGAGAAGGCTTCCGGGGTTGACCAGCTTCTAGCAGAATTTATAAAACAAATGGGCAAGTATGGGATAAAATGTTTGATTAAATTATGTAATTCTATATCCAGCACTTCAAAGGAATTTTTCCCAGTGATTTAAAAAAATCAATATTTGTTTTATTACCTAAAAAACAGAAGTGTTAGAGTGCACCCAGTTTAGAATAATTGGCTTAATAAGTCATGCCTGCAAAGTTTTATTAAACATAACTTTAAATAGAATAAAGTTTAAAACAGAAAGTGAGTTGTCTGAAGAACAAAATGAATTTAGAAAGGGTAAAGGAACTAGAGAAGCTATACAGTACAGGTATTTGGTTTGAGAATTTTTAATGAAAGAGCTCTAGAGGTCCAAAGAAATTTGTATATCTGTTTTGTTGATTAAAAAAAAAAACTTTTGATAGGGTGAAGCACAATAAACTTATAAGAGATCTTGGTAAAAACAGGCATTAATGAGGGAGATACCTGTATTAGAATTTTAAAGAATCTTTACTGGCACACTTACTAATTGGTTCACAGTTAGACAAGGAGTGTTGAATGTCGAAAGCATTAAGAGTGATGGAAATAGACAAATCAGTTCCCAATGAATTTAGGACTAAGTCAAAGATGTGCAATGTCACAATGGTTTGTTCAAAGATTTTCAAAGATGGGGAGCTGTACCGAGGCAGGTGAGAGCAAAATAATGGAGATGAATGCAGGTCTGGTAAATTGTGAAAAAATGATACAAACGGTGAGGGGATCAGCTCTTTGTTGTAGATGAAACTGGTTTAGTGGGCAATGTAGAATAAATGTTATAAATGTTAGTAAGAAGGACAAACTGTAGATACATTGACATCTAATTGAGTGGGGACAACAGACACATAAGAGGTGAGAAAAACTAAAACAAAATTTTTATAAATTATTTCTTAGTACTGTACTGTTTACAAAGAGTTTACAACAGTGAAAAAAATCAATTACCTCTAAATGTTTTATGAGCCAGTTTTTACTTGCTGCTCGATCTTCAAACATGTTTCCTTCAATGCGTTGTGCCACAGCTTCCTCTAGCACTGCCAGAGTCTTCTCTCTCCATTTCTTGGGTCGCCCAGGAGGTAAAAAGCCTGATCCTTTCTGGCGCTGAAAAAATTACACAATCACTTTTTCGTTTTGCTTTAAATCCTAAACAATAATAATTATAAATATATATTAATATAAACTAATTCCCTTACCTTACTTGAACTTACCATTCTCGAATATATCTAACAAAGAAGCCAAGAGGTATACAACTGACATGTACCTTCTCCTATATAATGGTACTGTACCTTCTCCGATATTATGGTACTGTACCTTCTCCTATATTATGGTACTGTACCTTCTCCGATATTATGGTACTGTACCTTCTCCTATATTATGGTGCTATACCTTCTCCTATATTATGGTACTGTACCTTCTCCAAAATTATGGTATTGTACCTTCTCCAATATTATGGTACTGTACCTTCTTCTATATTATGGTACTGTACCTTCTCCAATATTATGGTGCTGTACCTTCTCCGATATTATGGTACTGTACCTTCTCCAATATTATGGTACTGTACCTTCTCCAATATTATGGTACTGTACCTTCTCCAATATTATGGTACTGTACCTTCTCCAATATTATGGTACTGTACCTTCTCCAATATTATGGTACTGTACCTTCTCCAATATTATGGTACTGTACCTTCTCCTATATTATGGTACTGTACCTTCTCCTATATTATGGTACTGTACCTTCTCCTATATTATGGTACTGTACCTTCTCCTATATTATGGTACTGCTTCTCCTAATATGGTGCTGTACCTTCTCCTATATTATGGTGCTGTACTTTGCCTCCAATATTATGGTACTGTACCTTCTCATATATTATGGTACTGTACCTTCTCAATATTAATAATTCTTGTTGCTTCTCTATATTATGGTACTGTACCTTCTCCTATTATAAGTGCTGTACCTTCTCCAATATTATGGTACTGTACCTTCTCCTATATATGGTATACATGCCTTCTCAATATTATGGTACTGTACCTTCTCTATATTATGGTGCTGTACCTTCTCTATATTATGGTACTGTACCTTCTCTATATTATAATTTACTGTACCTTCTCGATATTATGGTACTGTACCTTCTCAACATATTATGGTGCTGTACCTTCTCCAAAATTATGGTATTGTACCTTCTCCTATATTATGAGTGCTGTACCTTCTCAATATTATGGTACTGTACTACCTATATTATGGTGCTGTACCTTCTCCTATATTATGGTACTGTACCTTCTCCTATATTAATGGTACTGTACCTTCTCCGATATTATGGTACTGTACCTTCTCAATATTATGGTGCTGTACCTTCTCCAATATTATGGTACTGTACCTTCTCCTATATTATGGTGCTGTACCTTCTCCAATATTATGGTACTGTACCTTCTCTATATATTATGGTGCTTTGCCTTCTCCAATATTATGGTACTGTACCTTCTCCTATATTATGGTGCTGTACCTTCTCCTATATTATGGTGCTGTACCTTCTCCAACTATGCCTTCTCATATATTATGGTGCTGTACTTCTCATTTCCTCAATATGGTACTGTACCTTCTCCTATATTATGGTGCTGTACCTTCTCCTATATTATAGTGCTGTACCTTCTCAATATTATGGTACTGTACCTTCTCATATAATATGGTACTGTACGGTCTCAAATATTATGATGCGGTACCTTCTCTATATATTATGGTGCTGTACCTTCTCAATATTATGGTACTGTACCTTCTCCTATATTAATAGTGCAGTGCAGCTACTCCTATATTATGGTACTGTACCTTCTCCAATATTATGGTACTGTACCTTCTCCAATATTATGGTACTGTACCTTCTCTATAATATGGTGCTCATACCTTCTCCTATATTGTGGTACTGTACCAGCCTTCTCCTATAATATGTACTGTACCTTCTCCTATATTATGGTAGCTTTTTATACCTTCTCCTATATTATGGTGCTGTGCAGCTACTCCAATATTATGGTACTGTACCTTCTCTATATATGGTGTGTACCTTCTCCTATATTATGGTGCTGTACCTTCTCATATATTATGGTACTGTACCTTCTCTATATTATGGTACTGTACCTTCTCTATATTATAATTATTGTACCTTCTCTATATTATGGTGCTGTACCTTCTCCAAATTATGGTATTGTACCTTCTCCTATATTATGGTATTGTACCTTCTCCTATATTATATTCCCTATATTGCGGTGCTGTACCTTCTCTATATTATGTGGTACTGTACCTTCTCAATAACTATAGTGCTGTACCTTCTCCTATATTATGGTGCTGTACCTTCTCCTATATAGCAGGAGTATTGTACCTTCTCCTATATTATGGTGCTGTACAGCCTACTCAGAGAGTATGGTATTGTACCTTCTCCTATATTATGGTGTACCTTCTCTATATTATGGTACTGTACCTTCTCCTATAATACTAATTATTGTACCTTCTCTATATTATGGTGCTGTACCTTCTCCAAGTATGGTAACTGTACCTTCTCCTATATTATGGTATTGTACCTTCTCATGGTATTGTACCTTCCTATATTATGGTGCTGTACCTTCTCCTATATTATGGTACTGTACCTTCTCCAATATTATGGTGCTGTACCTTCTCCTATATTATGGTGCTGTGCAACTTCTCCTATATTATGAGTGCTGTACCTTCTCCTATATTATGAGATTGCTGTACCTTCTCTATATTATGGTGCTGTACCTTCTCCAAGTATGGTATTGTACCTTCCTCCTATATTATGGTATTGTACCTTCTCCTATATTATGGTATTGTACCTTCCCCTATATTATAGTGCTGTACCTTCTCCTATATTATGGTACTGTACCTTCTCCTATAATATGGTGCTGTACCTTCTCCTATATTATGGTGCTGTACCTTCTCCTATATTATGGTGCTGTACCTTCTCCTATATTATGGTGCTGTGCAGCTTCTCCTATATTATGGTGCTGTACCTTCTCCTATATTATGGTGCTGTACCTTCTCAATATTATGGTACTGTACCTTCTCTATATATTATATGGTGCTGTACCTTCTCATATATTATGGTACTGTACCTTCTCCAATATTATAGTGCGGTACAGCTTCTCCTATATTATGGTACTGTACCTTCTCTATATTATGGTGCTTACTTCTCTATTATGGTGCTGTACCTTCTCCTATATTATGGTGCTGTACCTTCTCAATATTATGGTACTGTACCTTCTCCTATATTATGGTGCTGTACCTTCTCTATAATATGGTACTGTACCTTCTCATATATTATGGTACTGTACCTTCTCCAATATTATGAGTGCGGTACCTTCTCTATATTATGGTACTGTACCTTCTCTACCTATTATGGTGCTGTACCTTCTCCTATATTATGGT